ATAAAGTGGCCCGTGAGTGTAAATCATATAATTACGTATCTTTTAGGATAATGGAACCAATTACATAAAGCCACATATTTATTATTTTAAAAAAATATATGTAAAATTACAGAACATCTGCAAAATGTATTAATCTTAATTCCACATAAATTCAACAGATTAAATAGAAAATTAATTTTAGGATTTTCAGGGATTTTGTGATTTCCGTAATTTCATAATTTTTTTTTTTTTAAATTTTAAACTTAATTTTTTTTTTTTTTTTTAAAGTCACAACCTTGAATGCATTTTTATTTAAGTTTTATTAATTCCCTACCATGATTATATTTTATTTAATAGCATTCATTCATTCATTTTCTTTTTAGCTTAGTCCCTTTTTTAATCTGGGGTCACCACAGCGGAATTAACCAACTTATCCAGCATATGTTTTTTTTTATGCACCGGATGCCCTTCCAGCTGCAACCCATCACTGGGAAACTCAAACACACTCTTTCACACACACATACACTACGGACAATTTAGCCTACCCAATTCACCTATCTTTGGACTGTGGGGGAAACTGGAGCACCCAAAGGAAACCCACGCGAACGCAGGGAGAACATGCAAACTCCACACAGAAACACCAAATGACCCAGCCGAGGCTCGAACCAGCGACCTTCTTTCTGTAAAGTGACAGCACTACCTATTGCGCCACTGTGTCACCTAAATATAGCATTTAGCACCTTTTTTTATTCCTTATGACTGACTGACAAATTTAGATTCTATTACTGCTAGAATTTTAGATATAAAGTTTTTCATCAAAAATTTGTGGCAATAATTGCGACTAACTTCATTTATTTTAAATGAGTCAACACTGTGAAACTGAAAAATATTACCTCTTAACAAAGATGAATAAAAAACATTAAAATACTGCATATACAGTAAATAATCTTAAAATTTCAAATACCGTGTGCTATGAAACACATACATTAGGTAATAAATTAGTCTAGAACTCCAGAAATCACAATATGAAAGTGAGACACACTGAGAAACCATTTACATTTTACCCTTTACAACCCAGTGTAAAAACAAAGAGTGTGTGAGCGTTCAGGCTCAGTGTGTGTTGTCGAGTTATTTCGATGTTTTCTTTGCGTTCTAGTCCCTGATCTCTGTTTTTTTCTCTCTAATGTATTCCGGCATACAGACACAGCAAACACTCAGAATCACATGTCGATGCTTTGAAGTCGGTCGAGTGCGCGTTTCATCTTTCATGTCATCTTTTTGTTATTTTCCCTTATTTTTTTTGTATTATTACACGAGTACTTCCCTCTCGATCCGTCGCAAATAACAAACAAGTCTTTGTTTGGAGGGTTTGCTTAAATCAAGACAAGCTTCTCTTGTCTGTTTTTGATTTATCTCTTAATAACATTGATAGTTTTAATGCACCTGACTTCTGACTGATGTTTGGCTTCTGTGCAATATGCTGAATAGCATTCAAAAGTTTCTTCAAAGATTAAAGCAAACATTTATTCATTTATCTTCGGCTTAGTCCCTTTTTATCAGGGGTTGCCACGGCGGATTGAACTACCAACTATTCCAGCTTGGGTTTTACGCAGATGATGTCTCTCCTAGTCACAACCCAGTACTGGTAAACAATCATACACACTTATTCACACACATACACTACGGACAATTTAACTGACTCAATTCACCTATAGTGCATGTCTTTAGACTGGGCGAAACCAAAGCACTTAGAGGAAACCAACGCCAACATGAGGAGAACATGCAAACTCCACACAGAAATGCCACCTGACCCAGCTGAGACTACATCAACCTCTTTGCTGTAAGGCGACAGTGCTAACCACTGAGCAACCGTGACTAGGCACAGGACGATAACCGGTTTTAAGGTTTGGAAAAGTCAAGATGTTAATACTCCTAAAATGTTCTGTTATACCATTCCCAGGATTTACTCTACACTGAAAAAAAATGATTCAAAGATAATTCCTTGGATTTACTTAAATTTTTTTACATTAAGTGGTTGTAAACAATTTATTTGGGCGGAATTTAAGGAAAAAATTAAGTTAATATTTATTAAATTTAATTTTTTTTTTTTTATTTTAACACAAATAAATAGTTTGCAACAGTTCTGCATGCAAAATTTTTCAGTGTATGTAAATTTTTTTAACGTATTTTTTATTTGTTGTAAATGAATCCTTTTTTGAAGATAATGAAGAGAGCAGACATTAATGATTTATTTAAACTATTTAGCCTGACATGTTTACTGCTCCAAAATAATATAAATATATTTTTAAAAAAATGTGTTCAATATGGGAAAATGGGAATATGGGTGTTCTTACCCAGACACTTACAAATAACTTTAATTTATTTTTAGAGCAGTAATCACAATACCTCCTTAATTTTAGAGAAGTAATCACAAAACCTTAATTTTAGAGCAGTAATCACAATACCTCATTAATTTTAGAGTAGTAATCACAATACCGTGAAACCGTGGTATTTTTATCCAAGGTTATCATACCATCAGAAACTTACATGGGCCCATGCCCAACCGTGACACCCATTAAAGCAAACATTAAAACAAAAACCAGCAAGTCAAATCAGTCAGAGAGGTTTAAAATCCCTTTATTGCAGCTTTCAAATCGTTCACCACAGTTGTATTAATATATCTCTTAATGGACACTGTAAAAACTGCAGACTTCCACACACTTCCTTCATGTTGTCCCAGCACAAATCGATTAAGTCAACCCAGCAAGCACAGGACGTCAACATGGCGTCAAATTGACGTTGTACTCCAACCTGGTGCGGATGTTGCGTTTTGTTTGGAAATTAAAATTGGGTTGACCCAACGTCAGGCCAACGTCCAACCTGAAATCAACTAAACATCAACGTCTAATGATGTTGCAGCTTGACGTTGTGTGGACGTTTTCACTATGACATTTATCAGTTGTTAGATTTTGGTTGCCATACTTGATGAATAAATGTCAGTATTTGACATCAATATGACGTTGGTTTAAGATGTTGGCTAGACATTGAATTTTGGTCACTTTTTCTAACACAATCTAAAATCAACCAAATATCAACGTTTAATGATCTTACAGCTTGTTGTTGTGTGGACGTTTCCACAATCCAACGTCTGTCAGACGTTGGATTTTAGTTGCCATAATTGATGAATAAATGTCAGTATTTGATGTCAATATGATGTTGGTTTAAGATGTTGGCTAGACATTGAATTTTGGTCACTTTTTTTAACACAATCTAAAATCAACCAAATATCAACGTCCAATGATCTTACAGCTTGACGTTGTGTGGACGTTTCCACTATGACGTCTATCAGACATTGGATTTTGGTTGCTATATCTGACCAATAAATTTAAGTATGTGACATAAGTTGGTTTAAGATGTTTGCTCGATGTTGGATTTTGGTCACTTTCCAACACAACCTAAAATCAACCAAATAGCAACGTCTTATGATGTTACAGCTTGACACGGTGTGGACGTTTCCACTATGACGTCTATCAGATGTTGGATTTTAGTTGCCATACCTGACAAATAAATGTCAGTATTATGACGTTGATTTGATGTTGGTTTAAGATGTTGGCTAGACGTTGAATTTTGGTCACTTTTTCTAACACAATCTAAAATCAACCAAATATCAACGTTTAATGATCTTACAGCTTGATGTTGTGTGGACGTTTCCACTATGATGTCCGTCAGACGTTGGATTTTAGTTGCCATAATTGATGAATAAATGTCAGTATTTGATGTCAATATGATGTTGGTTTAAGATGTTGGCTAGACGTTGAATTTTGGTCACTTTTTCGAACACAATCTAAAATCAACCAAAAATCAACGTCTAATGATCTTACAGCTTGACGTTGTGTGGACGTTTCCACTATGACGTCTATCAGACGTTGGATTTTGGTTGCTATATCTGACAAATAAATCTAAGTATGTGACGTAAGTTGGTTTAAGATGTTTGCTCGATGTTGGATTTTGGTCATTTTCCAACACAACCTAAAATCAACCAAATATCAACGTCTTATGATGTTACAGCTTGACACGGTGTGGACGTTTCCACTATGACGTCTATCAGATGTTAGATTTTATTTGCCATACCTGACAAATAAATGTCAGTATTATGACGTTGATTTGATGTTGGTTAAAGATGTTGGCTAGACGTTGAATTTTGGTCACTTTTTCTAACACAATCTAAAATCAACCAAATATCAACGTTTGATGATCGTACAGCTTGATGTTGTGTGGACGTTTCCACTATGACGTCCGTCAGACGTTGGATTTTAGTTGCCATAATTGATGAATAAATGTCAGTATTTGATGTCAATATGATGTTGGTTTAAGATATTGGCTAGACATTGAATTTTGGTCACTTTTTCTAACACAATCTAAAATCAACCAAAAATCAACGTCTAATGATCTTACAGCTTGACGTTGTGTGGACGTTTCCACTATGACGTCTATCAGACGTTGGATTTTGGTTGCTATATCTGACAAATAAATCTAAGTATGTGACGTAAGTTGGTTTAAGATGTTTGCTCGATGTTGGATTTTGGTCACTTTCCAACACAACCTAAAATCAACCAAATAGCAACGTCTTATGATGTTACAGCTTGACACGGTGTGGACGTTTCCACTATAAAATCTATCAGATGTTGGAATTTAGTTGCCATACCTGACAAATAAATGTCAGTATTATGACGTTGATTTAAGATGTTGGGTTGAAGTTGAATTTTGGTCACTTTCCAACAACCTAAAATCAACCAAATATCAACGTCATTTGACGTCATTATTGGATGTCAATATAACGTTTTCCTTAGATGCTGGCTAGACATAAAATTTTGGTCACTTGACATCACGAGCTAAATCAAACCTAATATTAACTTCTTATGATGTTGTGTGGCTGCTGGGTAACCTAACCGGTTTTTACAAATTTAAGTGGATTGAACATTAAACGATTAAGTTGTCCCAAAAAATACACAAGAATTGTGTTATTTTAACTTATTTAATTTATTTTAAAAGTAGTTTGAACAAGCAGCAAAAGTCATTTTTGAGTGCTTTTTACAGCACAGAAGTTTCAAAAGTTACACATTCTTGTATAAAATAACCCCAGAAATCAAGATCGCTGTTGTTTGCTAATTAAATACAAGCTCTGCATAAACCCCTTTCACATGTCAGAAAACCCAAATAATTACAGTCTCAGCTCTATTCTGCTTCACACTCAGAGATAAAAAAAGGAAAAACAAAAAGGTGCTCAATTATCATTGTTTTTCAGCAAGCGTCTAAATATCGAAGGCCGCCCCCTCCCCGTGTCTGCGGCTCGCCATGATTGCCAATTAGAGCAGAAATCAATTTACAGTCTCCGTCGTTTAATTGATATCATTATGTTTACTGTAGAATGAATAATTGATTGTTGTATCATTACATCAAAATGTAGCCGTGTGTGAAGCCAGCCCGGCAGGTAGTCGCCGCTGAGAGGGTTTCTCGTTAAAAAGCTGTGATTGTCGATAATTAGGGGTTATCATTATATTCCCGCTTCCCCAAACGCCGGCATTAGAGATTTAGCTTTCCAAGTTTGGCCTAAAGACGTGCACAGACACTAATATACATAACATAAACTTTACTTTAGAGGAAACGATTGTGCATTTTTAAATCAGACATTATTTAAGGTATGAAGCTCTCAGGGGAAATGATGAATAAATTAATGGGAGACCAAACATTCATAAATAAAATGGAGATAGTGATTGCTGTGGATTGTCTTGGCTGGTTTCTGCAGATGTGGGTCCATGTCTATTTCCAGACAATGTTGAAATACTCATCAATTTTGAATTTCTGCGGTGTTACATGAATAATCAACACCTGAGTCTGAGGAAGAGAAAGAGAGAGAGAGAAAGAGTGAGTTATTACAAAGGTGTTTTGGAATGGTAAACATTTCCTGCACTATTTTTTCCCTAAAGTGCACATATTATGCTGTTTTATTGAATACTTTTATATGGTTAATATCTATCCATTGTAGCAAACAGTTGAATAGTCTCCTAATATCCATTGTAGCATCAATTGGATTATCAAACAGTTGGTTCAAAGATAAGGTCTCTCTTCACCCTGCCTTTATGAGAGCTCAAACTGCTCTGATTGGTCAGATAAGAGTGATTCACTGATTCAAATGATCTGGTCACAGCAAATCTCTAGTTAACAACTCACTGATTCAAATTATCTCTAGTTAAAAAAACTCACTAATCCAATTGATCCAGTCAGAGTTCCCAGTAACTGATTCACTGGTTCAAATGATCTGATCAAAGCAAATTTATAGTTAACAACTCACTGATTCAAATAATCTCCGGGTAACAACTCACTGATCCAAATGATCCAGTCAAAGTGAGTTTTCATTAACTGGTTCACTGGTTCAAATGATCTGGTCAAAGCAAATTTCTAGTTAACAACACACATATTTAAATGATTTACAGGTAACAACTCACTGATTCAAATAGTCTAGACAAAGTGAGTTTCCATTTACTGATTCAATGGTTCAAATGCTCTGGCCAAACCAAATTTTCTAGTTAACAAATCAGTGATTCAAATGACCCAGTCACAGCGAGTCTTCAGTCAAAGAATCACTGATTTAAAGGTTTCGGCCAAAGCATTCTCCAGTGAATGACTCAATGATTCAAATGATCTGTTTAGAGCAAATCACCAGTAAACGACACACTGAATCATTTGTAAGTCGCTTTGGATAAAAGCGTCTGCTAAATGACTAAATATAAATACAAATGATGCAAATGATCCAATTAAAGTGAATTTCCACTAACTGATTCAAATGATTTAGCCAAAGTGAATCTGTAGTTAACAAATGATCTCCAGTTAATGACTTAATGATTCAAAGGATCTGGCCAAGCAAGTCTCCAGTGAATAACTCACTGATTCAAATGATCTAGTTGGAGTGAGTCTCCAGTGAATGACTAATTAATTCAAATAATCTAGTTGGAGTGAGTTTCCAGTGAACGACTCACTGATTCAAATAATCTAGTAGGGGTGAGTCTCCAGTGAATGACTCACTGATTCAAATGATCAGTCAGAGTGAGTGTCCAGTAAATGACTCACTGATTCAAATGATACAGTCAGAGTGAGTGTCCAGTAAATGACTCACTGATTCAAATGATACAGTCTGAGTGAGTGTCCAGTGAATAACTCATTGATTTAAATAATCTAGTTGGAGTGAGTCTTCAGTGAATGATTCACTGATTCAAATGATCAGTCAGAGCGAGTCTCCAGTGAATGACTCACTGATTCAAATGATACAGTCAGAGCGAGTCTCCAGTGAATGACTCACTGATTCATATGTTACAGTCAGAGCAAGTTTTCAGTGAATGACTCACTGATTTAAATTATCCAGTTAAAGTGAGTTTGCTGATTCCTACGATGTGGTCAAGGAGATTCTCTAGTTAACAACTCACTGATTCATAGGATCCTGTAAAAGCGAACCTCCAGTTAATGAATCACTTATTCAAATTCTCCAGTTAAAGTGAGTTTCCACTAATTGATTCAAACGATCTGGTCAAAACAAGCCTTCAGTTAATGACTCAATGATTCAAAATGATCCAGTCAAAGAGAGTCTCCAATCGAGTGGTCCAAAACCAACAGTTCACTAAATTTATGAACTGATTTAAAATCAGTCAAAAGCAGGACATACTGTAGGATTGTGCAATTAAATAGCAAATCTATACAAGTTTGTACAGGAAGTAAGCTGGAATCATTTCAGACAGTTCTGTATCACTTGTGGGCACCTTTTTGAGACAAGAACTCAATTTTTAGTATGATTTACAGACCTTTTTTATTTACAGTCACAATCAGCTATATTACACACAAGAGTATATGAAAGATTATTTCTGAAATGGCAAGCAGCAGTGCTTTAGAACCATATGAGTACAGGACAGGTCTGTAAATGACCTGATGATGAAGAAAAATAAAAGTTGCTGGAGCGATTGGTTGGGAAATGCCACCTCTGCTCTGACATCCACCATGAGGGCAAACACACACACTCACACACACACACAGAGAGACAGATGGAGCTGCCTCGCCTCTTTCAGACTTATTATGCAGTCGGGAAATACTAAGAAAGATAAATGATTCGTTGTGGGCTGAAACACTAGTTATTCAGATTCACATGCGCAGGGTTTCTTCGTCTCTCCAGCTCCTGCCTGCAGTTTTATTAATAGAAGCGGTGCGGTCGATGCACACAACTTTTAAGCAGAAAGTAAACTTGTCTTTGTGTTTCATCAAGCTTTCAGTGCAGGGGTGAAGAAATGGAGGACAAGGAGACACACTTACAAAATACAAATATATATATATATATATATATATATATATATATATATATATATATATATATATATATATATATATTTTTTTTTTTTTTTTACATGTTCAATTTACATTAAAAATCACACACAAATAAAAATTATTAAATTTAAAATTTTTTAATATTTAAAATTTCTCTCAATTAGTTTTGGTATGAAATTTGGCCAAAATATGTCAAAGGCAGAAAACAAAAAGTAAAAACTAATTTTGACTCTAAATAATATCCATTAATGTCATTAAATTAATATCTCTTAAAATATTAAAAGGATAATTGAAAGTCAGCAAACATATTAATTGTCATGGTCATACTCTATATCAAAATAATCTCTTAAAATATCAAAATAAAAAGATAAATAAATTTAACTTTTTATTTATTTTGTTGTATGCAGTTTGTGGTGATTTTTTAAAACTTTATTTTATTTACTTACATTTTTTTAACCACTGCATGTTACAGTAAGTTTTTTATTTTTGTATTTTTTTTTACTTAAAGAAAAATTATAATAAATAAAAAAGTAAAAGTAATTCATTATTCATTTAGTATAGCTAAATCTGAAGTATAGATTTGCACAAATGATCTCACCTCAGGGTAATAATCGAAAGTCAAAGGTGTTGTACTGCCCCCAGTTACAGTAATGGTGACCTCCGTGACGGATGATGATACGCCCAACACCTTCACTTCGCCCAGTAAAGGTCTGTCGGCCTCCTCCAGCCCAGTTTCACGGACACCCGAAAGGGAACCCTAAAATGATTAAAAAAAAAAAAAAAACTGTTACACAAAACAACACAAGCAGGCCCTTCTACAATTTAACTAATTTATTCACCCTTCTGTAAAAATGTTTGTTCTTTTTCAAATATTTCCCAGGTAATTTTTAACAGAGCAAGGAATTATTCACTGTATTTTCTATAATATTTTTTCTTCTGGAGAAAGTCTTATTGGTTTTATTTCAGCAATTTTTTTTTTATTTTTTTAAACATTTTAAGGTCAATATTAAAAGCCTTCTTAAGAAATATTAGTTTTACATAAAATAAATCAGTTATTAGAAATATGTTGAAAAAATATTTGTTAAAAAGAAAGGGGGGGGGGGGGGGGGATGTACAGGAAGGGCTAATAATTCTGACTTCTGTATTATCTATTTCTATAAATGCCCTCTCACCACAACGGTATAAAGCAATGGCTGGCTAAAAACTGTGTTGTTTCACTATTATATAACATCTGTGTGGAGAAAACTCAAACTAGCCGAGTTTGACCTCGTTTTACAAACAGCTCTGGACTCCACAGAGCTGTGTTTTCCCCACCGCACAAATAATCTGAGCACATACCCTATAAAACCCAGAGGATGTCCAGAGAGCTCTGACCTGGACCAAAAGTGCCTGGAGCTGCTATAGCATCTAACACTTTTGGATCTGGATTTGATTTATAAATAGAGAGCAACCACAGATGTTTGGCTTTAGGAGAGATGGACAATCTCCAATTCTCTATAGGATGTGACGGTGCTGTTCAATACAGATAAATCGAAAACAACTGCATGCTTATCTTTGAAAACAAAACATACTTACCCTCGATGCAGAGAATTGTTTATAGATGTATTTTCTATTCTTAAGGGTATCTGTAATGAGAAAAACAGGACAGGATCATTTCTAAAATGATTTGATAATTAGTGTTATCATTTTATTTTATACAGTTATTTTAAGGGACTCACCAATTCCTTCTCCGTCATCCCAAAACAGGTTACCAGTTGCATAACCTGATCCATCCAGAGCAACAAGCAGGTTCATAGGATTCTTACGACTAGAAGAGAGAAAAAAAAACCCATCACAACCATTGATATATTTACTAGGGATGAGACAGGAAATTCATTCATTTCTCTCAGCCTCATAGACGCTGCATTAGAAACACCTCGCATAAGCGGTGATTCGTTTTTTGTAATTTGAAACAAAAATGATCAAATACATTCATAATTTTTCAAAATTTAAATATTACAAACTCTTAACAGCATATGCACCCGAAATGTTATCTATGCGACCCCAAAATATGTTCGTGAGCATTTGTGCGAGTGCATAAAGTTGTTGTGTGCGACAGGTTTTTACTGCAAAATGTTTACCACATGCACGGATTTGGGAGACGTTTACGTAGAATGCATCTCTAAGCTCTTTGTCTGCACTTGAAACGCGAAACGCAGCGCTCAGTAAAGGTTTAAAACAGTTGTCATGTCAACTTGCTGCAGTAAACAAAGCCAAGTCTGTAATGCTTGCCCCGCCTTCGCGCTCTTCTTATTGGCCCACCACTGCTCTAGCACTTAATTATCAGCTGTCAATCAATCAGTCAATGCCTTCTGGCTTGGGATGACAGCGAGAGCTACTGCCTCGAAAAATTGTAGTGCTGAAGATGAGAATGAAAATAACACTGACAGATTTTGTTTTAGAAACCATGGCATATAAAGTTACAAATAACGACACATCTTACTAGTGATCATGTGCAGAATGTTAATCCACATCATCTACACTTTTCCAAGAGTGGATAAAAGACTTCCATTGGCTTCAAGTCCGCTATGAAAAGTCTGTGGGATGGGATTTTCAAGTAACTGTTTGCCACATCTAGCACGAAAGCCTCTGTTTAATCCTTCATTTAATTGCCAGCTGCTGTCCGCCGTGCAAGTGGCACCTATATGTAAAATTGAACACCCCGTACACCATCACAAACAGGCTTGCACTGAGTAAACTAACATCGCTACTCATGAAAAGACTGGTATTGCTATTAACATGACATATGCATATAGTAAGGTATGTCAAAAGCATCAGTGCAATATCAGACGGCACCCGTGAGAACAGCACAGTTATATCGTTGACAGACTCATTCATATCAAGCAGTGCGTGCAGTGCCGGTGAGCGCTCCGTGTATCTTTTGGTCACTCAGTTATGTTATAAAAATGTGTTTTATTGTGATAACGGGAATTCGTTGAGAAATATTTTCCTCACGCTTGCAT